AAATGGTACCATTAAAAGGGGCCAACTCAATCGAAAAGGGACCACCGGATTCGAGAATCTCAGGGCCCGAAGCAAGTTCCTCGGACTTGACCTCTTCACTGGGGTAGGTCATAACTTTTAATGATGCGCGGATTTGTCTCTTGATCATCTCGGTCATAAAAACCATAGAGGGGCAAGGGGTAAGGTCAGCAGCCGGGTGGCCAAAAAAAAAAGAGAGAAACAAAAACAAAGGTGTCGGCTGCTCTTTGGAGTTAAGTGTAATAAGCGGAGACTGTTATCGTGAGCAAATATTAAACATCTTGTGCGGAGCTTTAACGCCGTTTTACCCGGTATCTGTATCTTGTCCCGCTGTTTGTCTTTGTCGGCGTTTTGATGTTTTTATCTCTGCCCGATGCTCCACATACATCACACGGATGATCTTTACGATCACGATCCCAGAAAGGGGAACCAAGGGGCCCCAGGGAGGCCGGAACTTGTCGCATGCCAAGGCGATGGCGTGTCACCACTTCCTACAGCCCCATAAATGATAAACGGATCTGGCCTTATCTGGTAACTATCCATCAATAAGGTGAACATAGGTGAACCAATTTTTAGGGGCCTAGATTGTATCATGTCGAAATAACATTTTGTAATATCTATAAAGTATAAGAATCAGATCCCTTTTCGTAGCCAAGAAAAATAGCATGTTCCCCAGAAATGTGTATCTTCAAAGTAAAATCTTGCAGACATAGGCCTTATGGAGTTATAATAAACAAAAAGTTCAATTATTAAACTAGAAATGATATAAATTGACACCTTTTTGTGCCTAAGATCCCAATAATCAAACACTGTTTCTAAAAAAATAATACTACACTAATAGCTAGGAAGCTTTAAGCATCTTGCGCAAACAGCAGGCAATTCCAACCATTCCGACCTGAAGAGGGGGCTTGGGTGATACCCCACCCGGTATATAGATTATGTACACATATAGCTGTTTATCCCCCACCCCAGACGATCGGCTAAGTAAACAACGGCTCGAGCTTGACGACCGATCGCAATTCATGGACTACACACTCAGCCGGAGTCAAGTGGGTCAAAATCAGCATAAAAATCCGCAACTGATGTCGCTGATTTGATCGCACTCGCGCCGAATGGTATATGGTATCGTATCGTATACTATACTATATCGGTTCGGATCGAATCGGATCCGATTGGATCGCGCGATGGGATCAACTAAGTTGCCTGGAACTTATTGCAATTGTAATGCGTTGAATATTGATGAGAGAGCCAGCCTGCTCTTGGGGTTGAGATTCGTTCGGATTCGGTTTTCAGCACGTGGAGGAACCCGAGCAGAATGAACCTCAACAACGGCGAACCATTTAAATTGTTAAACACCCGCTGAATCCATTGAACTAAGTCCACGTATAAATTTCCCAGCCGACAATCTTTCAATAGATTAATGAGCTCGACTTGTCTCGAATATTCTTGAGGAAGTTTAAGCAATCTGAACTTTGTAAATGGGTTGCTAAGCTTTTTTCCATTGGAAATAATAGGGCCCATATACCATGTTGATACAGGGATTTAATATGCAGATTGTCTGCTGGTTAAAAGCATTCTCCCCCTTCTCGAAACGAAATCGGCAAGGTACTTCCGCTCCTAATGGAAACATCAGCCACAAAACAGGGGAGATATCGGAAATGGGACATCGGATGGTGACTCTTCCCGGGCAATATCCATGCATAATTGGACTATCCGTGCATTCTGTGACCTTCTGGCGGAGATAACCGCAGGAATTAGGAGCAAATAAATGTCACAACAGAGGGAAAACAACTACCTGAGGGGCCACACTCATTAGGCAATCGAATTGCAGCAGTTTCATTTCAATTTTCACTTCCACATTGATTTCGCTTGACCATTTCCGTTTTGTCCGCCGCCCAACCATTTCTGATAATTGTAATTTTTTTGTTCGTCTTTCGTATCTGAAGAAAAAAAACATACACGAAATACACGACTGGACCCTTAAAAGGCGATCTATATAGCCTTCTGTCTATTCTGCGAGGCAAAGAAATGCCAAGGCAGACCAAAAATTAGGTATTCAATGGGCAATTAAAACGCGCCGGAGAAGATCGAGGAGATCTCTCGCCCCGTCTCTTTCTGGACGGGCACGAAGATCGGTTTGGATCGGATTGGTTTGGGATTTCAAGAAGAAATCAAGCCAGCAAACTGACAATGCCGAGGCATGGCAAAGCATTTTAATATAGAAATTTTCTTGCCGCCATTATTTTAGGCCAACGGCCTACAACGGCCCGAAGTCGAGGCCCAAGTCAGCAGCATACAGAGAAAGAAATATGTGAGCTTTAAGATGGGTTTTAGTGAAAGAAAAATGTTCCTTTTTACGAACCCAAGCTGGCTTATTATAACAGTTTGTATCCTTATATCTGTTATATCTTTTTTAGTTTCTAACATTATTGATTACTAATATTTTTTGAAAAAGCCATGGTAACCTCGTCAGAAAAGGTTTCAGAGCTCAACATTTTGTTATATAACTTATTTAGATATGTTGTGGATTCCCAGGACTTTTATAAATCAATTTAGTTTATTTATACAAAAATGGTATAAGGATTTAAAATAAAGATACACTTTTCAACTGCTCGTTTTTAGTTTTTAAGAACCTACAAAAAATGTTTGAGCAGGGGTAGTCATGGTAAATGGTTAAAAAATTAGTGTTAAGAATCCCCAATCCTTTTTATAACCTTTTAAAGGCCTTAGGATCAGTAGTGCCTTTTAAGTTTTAAAGATATTATTGACACATATTTCAAAACAACATTTTTCTGAGTGTTTGAGCAGAAGACACAGAAGCAGAAGACAGAAAACAGAGGAGACACGGCCAACATCCAAAGCCATTGAACAGCCATCGAGGGGCGATCCATAGAAGGGCCTATAAGGTACGTACCCCCATCCGCAACACCCAATCCACAATCCCCAGTCGACAATCCCCATTCCCTTCCCCGATTTTGGTGGCTGGTCAAAAAGAAAGTCGCCTGCCCATTTGGCGTTGTATTGGCTTTGGCTTTAGCTTCGGTTAAAACTTTGGCTTCCATTGAAGATTGGCGCAGCAGCAGCAGCAGCCACTGTCGATTCGATGCAGTTGGCCATCGACGAAGACAAAAGGAAAACACTCCATGAATCTTTAATGAAGAATCACCAGTTACCAGTTACCAGCTACCAGTTACCAGTAACCGGCTACCAAGTTACCAAGATACCAACCAAGTTACCATGTTGGGGCCCATAAACGCGCCAACCGCCAATCGTCGCCATCATCGCCGTCGTACATTTTCTTTTATTGAGCCGTAAGATTCGAATTGTAATTGTTGTTGGGCTGTAGTTTAAGTACCCTTTACTGAAAAATATTTTAAGCACTTGAGGGAATTTTTTTATAGTTATATATAGATAATTTGATCCTATAAAATATATTTAAATATCGAAAAACTGTCTGGATTTCTTTTGAAAAATCATGACAGCCTATATAAAAGGGGGTATACAGCTGAACAACATTAGGTCTTATTTATATTTCTTATAATACAACAATACAATACCAAACCAAAATATCCAATGTATAGAAAAGAATGCCTAATCAATATGAGTTTGCAAGAAACTAAAATAGGTAAAGCAATGGATGAGTTATTGCTTGAAAGTGTTGCCCTATGAATCATTCCTAAAAGTGGTGAACAATACATTTTATTTCAATGTAATGGTGACTAATACCCAAAATTATCTAAAGGATTAGTTTCATTATTAAGTTCTGTTGTCAAAAGTGATTACTTACCTTTAAAATAGGATTCACCTTTGGTTAAATCATAAGGTAGATAAGATGGGTTATTTCTTTTTCCTATAAATATTTATTTTAAAACCAGGGTATACCCGACTTCGATCCCCATCCCATATGGGCACTCATCGTTTCTGGTTTTGTGTTTGGATGTGATTTCGTATTTGGCGCGGCATTTGAAGTCTGAAAGTCGAAGAAGAGGAGGCAGCAGCCATGGCTGCTATATGGCCATATAGCCACTATAGCCATCAGCCATCGGACATCGGACATCGGACACCTTGGACATCGCACTTGGATGGCGTGTCCAATGGCCAATGGTCGGAGCTCAAGAGCCCGATGCCCCATCGTGCACCCATCGCAATGTTAATGTATTTGGAAATCGTGCCCAGAGCCGTAGGCTCCCCCTCTCTGGACGTCTCGTTCGCACTCTGTCTCCGAGGGGATTTGAGAAAACCAGAATGGAAAGCTTTCTCCGGGCGAAACGAATGCGAAATGCTCTTTGGGTTCGGGAAAATTGGTTGGGGAACTCAGAAAACCCTATAGGGTTGACTATAGTAAACTAGTATTACGTTATATAATATGTAATAGATTGTAAGGCATCAATAATAATATATAACATTGTTAATAACTTAATAAAATCTTTATTATGAAGACCCCCAAAAAAGGTCGATCCTAACCAAACCAAATACAATTCTTTGTTAAAAACTTCAAGTCATAAAAATTCCTCTAAAGATATCCATCCAATAAACCACAAAATCAAATTGAATAACTGTATTTGCTTTGTTTTCATCAATGGTTTCGGTACTCGTAAGACCCAAAAAAATATGTCTCTCAATTTGCGTATAGAGTACGAGAGAATAAAAGAAATTTATGGACAAACTATGCATTATTAAAAAATGATGTGTACATGCGGTGCGTGGCTCGTTTGAGATTTGTTTAATAATCAAAATTCATTAAGCGAGTGCCGCATGGTGTATCGGTGAAATTAAGCAGCCATAGATACATTATAAATATATCGCAGAGATGGTCAACGAACTGAGCTGTCCAAACGTGGACCGTGAAAGTTTCGAGCCACGATTCTGACCCAAAAAGAAGAGGTTAGGAGAAATATGGAATTAAGAGATAGTTATGAAAAGGTAGTATATTATCTATGGGGATTTGAGATATATATTTCTTTAGAATACCTACTTTTTATTATAGGAAATATATATGCAGTATAAGAAACTTCCTATCATCGGGTAATAAACTTTGCATCCTTTTGCCATATCCCAAAGTCAAGTGACATGTGATATGGTGGTTGTAAAGCTTCCTGGCCAGTTGGAAACAGAGGAAACAGACTGGGCAGAGTGAGCAGGACCATGTCCACTGGTGCATTACATCGCCTCGTTTCCAGTCGGACTTCCGATTCTCGGATTACGTCCCTGAAATGTGATCGATTTGCAAGGCGGGCGACGAAAAAAAAAGGATCGTTCGGCGGCGAAAGTTTAACTGCCGCCTTCCAGTTGATTAAACCCCTTTAGCCAGAGCAGCCAGGCTGACGACTCGGCAGTTTAGGAACCCAGAAATTTGGAGTCCTGGCGATTCTGTGAACTGTGTGGCAGGGTAGGGTAACCCGATCCCAGTCAATGATCCGGCGACTCGGGATCTCTCTCCTCCTTTTCGACCAGCCTGCGAGAGCGCGAAGGGCCACCACAGTGACAGGTGCACCACCGACACCACCAGCAGCACCACCACCACCACCAGAAAGTGGCCAAGGATGATGCAAGGATGCACCTTTGTGCAACTGCAGGGGTTGCTGCTGTCGAGCACTGAAAAAAATAATTAATAATAGTTTTTTTTATCAACTAAGAATTTTATGTGCTATTGAAAAGGGTTTTAAATAAAATACAATAAATAATTTGTAGACCAAAAATAATTAGCTTTATTTAACAAGGAATTTTTTTAATAAGATAATACGTATTTTTCTCAAATCAAATTCTTTTTTAGTTTATATAAAACAACAGTTTCTTCAAAATATAATATTAAAACAATATAAGACTAGAATTTGATCTTGGTTAAAAAAAATATTCTTTGTGTTTTTCGTAGCCAAATGAAATGTAAATTAAGAATTACACATGAGCCACCTTTTCTTAAGCTGATTTTAGCTTAAAATATTTAGAAAACTATCAAATAATATTTATTTTTAGTTTTTTTTTAAATTTCTTAGACAAACTATATTTTTTTTTGAGTGTATGGCACTTCTCCTGCTGTTCTGGCCCAACTGTCAGGATGCAAAGCGTGTGTCTCGGCCGTTTAAGCGAACCAAACACCGCAACACGGCCAAGAACAGAAAAAAAAGAAACAGAAACAGAAGCAGGGGGTTAAGGGCCGGGGTTAAGGGGATGAAGACAGGTTCTGAGGCACAGGTCAGGGCAAAAGGAAGCTGAGTGCCGGCCACGTTCATTCAACTGCTGTCAGGACACCCGACACAGGACACAGGACTCAGCGCTCTGGACACAGGACACCTGACCAGTTCGGCCAGCGATCGGAATAGGCCAGGATCCAGGATCAACGCTCGATACGGCCAGTTTATTGAACTATTGTATCATACCTTTGGACTCTTGGGGTTCAGCTGCCAAGCAGCAGCAGGTTCATCAACTTCCCTCGACAGAGAATTAGAGCTAAAAACACATAAACACCATATACGGTTGTGGAAAAACGGTAATTTCCCTGCCATGCCAATTTAATGCTATGTTTTTTTCCAAATATGGGGCTTATGCAGTAACTCCTTCGGGACCAAGAACATCAGATAAGTTATCATTCTTATCATTTTTTGAAATAATGTGAAATTATTGCTCAAAACATATCAAAATTATACAGCAATAGGTTGCCTAACAAAATGTATGATATACTTCAAAACATATTATATAAAACAAGAAAGTTTTTTTTTTTAGAAGACCAAGAAGAACTTTTATAATAACAAGATTAGATATAATTAAAAAGTATTCAAATGTATCTTAAAAATCAAATATAATAGATTTATCCATTAAAATACACATATATTCAGTTCGTTCTTGGCATATCCTAACCTTTTCTTTTAAAGGTCAGTTTAGAGATCATTGGCACTTGAGTCTCTCCAGACCACCCAAAAAAAGAGCCACCTTATCCCTAAGGATTCTGTAGAGACTTTTCCCCATCCCAAAAAACCAACATCCCATCCATCGATCCATCTGGCCAGGCAAACAGAGGAGCGCTACAGTCAAATATCGATTACCAGACCGCATAAAAAACTCAAAAGACTCGAAAAAAATACAGGAATAAGAAAAAAGCATTTGCAACAAGGTGTGTCTGCTCTTCGGGTCCGTCTGCTATCTGCTGTCATCACCATAATCATCATTTCCATCAGCCATCCAAGTATTGGAGTTGCGTCGTGGCTGTGTCAACAAATTAATCAGTTCAAATACGAGATACAGATACAGATACAGCGTTTACGGTTACATTTGAATATGCAGCCGTCATTGGAGACAACGTTCCCCGTATCTGAGAAATATCTGTTAACCACTTCCACATCTCCCAATACGATACGATACGAAACCAACTTCCGATACCCAACTATCCCATCGCATTCTATCCCATGTGATCCCGAGTTCCTGCGACGTGTGTTTCAGTTTTTAGGGTTGTGCGGCGGTCGAGTTGAGTCAATATTTTCATTGGCTTTGGCTGCTGATAAAAAAGCGAAATCCAAATCGAAATCGAAATGCTCCGGGAGTGCAGATGCATTTTCCGCGCACGCTCCGCTTGTTTGCGCTGCGGGGGTGGGCGGAAAATTTAATTGAGAGCGGGGGAGGTGCACTGAAAGAAATGAAGTACAAAGAAAAAATTAGATATTTTTCTACAAACTCTGATCCCCCTTTTTTTTGACATCAATATTAATGAGGATTTTAAAATCGAACCAATCTTAAGTTTAATTTTTCCTGTATATCTACTTTTAGAAGAATTGGATTATGCGAACGATTTAAGTATCATATTATAACCTTTAAAATCCCAAGGTATCCAGGTGATAAACCCTAAAAATGGATGACAAGTGCATCTTTTCCCCCAGTGCAGGCAAAGATAGTTGCCATAGCTATCAGCCTATTGGGTTGGGCCCAAGTCTCTCGGCCGGATTGCAATCTGGATGGCAGGGTGGTTCGGAACTCCTGTTTGAATCCAGGCAACCGTTAGGACCAGAATAAAAAAAAAATGGGGCGCGACTGAGCTAACTTTGTGGAGTGAGGGGGTTAGCAGCTAATGTAAATGAGCAGCTGAAAGTCAAAGGATACGAGAAATACGAAGGAAGCATGAAATTACGGGTTGATTTTAGGCATAAGTGAGCAAGAAGAAGGGGTAAAGTGTGGATCAGTGGAGCGGGAAGAATTCACTCTTGCTTTCTGCGCATTTCACACTTCGGTACTCGCAATTCTTAAGCTCCCTGCAAAGTCTCAACTAACTGTGTTTATCTTATAAGCTCTCTTGCCAACCATCTATTAAATCGAATACGATGTCATGTCTTCAGCTAATGCAATAGCAAATCAAAATCAAACATTAGCAATGGGCCAAAGTCGAAATGGGACATGTTTTTATATATAAGCAACCTCCCCTCTTCCGATCCAAATATATATATATATTTATATATATCATTATCTGGAAAAGAGATAACGGATAGCAAGACTCTCAAAGAAAACCACACATGAGAGGCGCAAAGTCTCGGTATTATAAAAGTGGTGCTGTTCCAGGTAAATAGAAAAGCACCACCACCAAAATAATATACCACCTCCTCATGAGCCCCTCCAAAAGGTTCGGTGGTTCGGCATTTCCGTGAGCCCCCTTCTTATCGACTGGCAAATCATCGATCATCTCAAATTCACGATCCATCATCATTAGGCAACGCATTTCGGTTCTCTTTGGCGATAAGAAATCGAAATGGAGGTTCTTCGTACTTGAGTTCCATAAACATGATTCTACACTCCTCTTAAAATAAGAGTTGGGGGCTTTTTTCTTGGATATATCCTACCTATTTTATAGTATCATCACTATCATCATAATTTTCTGTTCAAGAGATCTTGCAAGCCTTAAAAAGTATATAAAACTTATCGATTTGCAAAAGACGAAATCAAGTTGGTTAGAATCGAATGTTGTATTGATTGCACTTGAATGCGTCTTGAGTTGCGTTTTTATCTTTATGGCTTGGTTGGAAAACCATGTCACGTGCCCGATTAAAAATCCACCTATATGGTCGTCTGGTCGGACGCTGGACAAACGATCTGGTACTGGTACGGGTACCAACGATTGCACCTTTTATGGAGCCCTCGTATACCTGGCGATTATCTCTGGGGGCAGCTGGATGTGTGCGTATGCTTGTGTGTTGTAAGAGACCTCCAATATACTGATAGTGCAGTGCGACTCATAAACCTATCGATCTATAGCCCCAAAGATAACCGACCGACCCACTGATACGTCCGGGGGTTTGTCATTCCTTCTCCGATTTTTTTTGTATTTTCAGCTGCAATACCATTTAGTACCGGGGGCAGAGTCTCAAAGTATTTCCGAAATTATCACCTAGATATATCTGTGGAGCCTCTCGCTGTTGTCTCTGGGCTTTCGTTTCAAAGTTTCAAAGACGCTGGAAGCGATTTTTAAGCCCCCGCGCCAAACGAAGGCGCGTGATACGGTTGGTCTCCGACCTCCGATCGATTCCCATTCGCATTTTCATTTTCATTCCCATTCCGATTCCGATAGATGTCGCCTTGTGTGATCGCTATCACGCACCCAATTCGGCGCCTTCTCCTCCGACTGACTCAGCTGATTCCAGCCAGGTGACTCACCACCCATCACTCTTGGCGACCGAGTCCGATTCCGATTCCAATTCTTGCTATTCCGATTCCCAATAACCGAGGGCATATCTCTCCGCAAAACACCTATTCGCAACTTCGCACGCCGCCAGCTGATGATGATGATGATGGTGTCCGGTGGAGACCAAGTGATCCTAACTCTGACGTCAGTGCCTTGTGAGTGGGGACTTTGCCAGATACAATGGCCACAAGATTTGGAAAGAAGATATGCCGAAATAGCACCCCTTACGAAGGTGATCTGTCGAAAATCAGTTATGACGTTCATACAGTTTATGAGGTGCTATGTAGTTAAAAGTTACCAGGAAAATACAGCTAATAATGACACATTCTGTGGAAAGAATATGAAATACATATTACTAAACATATTGTTACTTGGTTTTTTTTCTGTACTATCTTAAATCTACATTTATAAGCAAAACAGTTCTCTATTTTATATAGAACTTACTCGAAGACATTAATTTTTTAAGGAAATTGTTTCCACTTAGCCTGAAGCAAGTTAACTTTTGTCCATTAGCCTCAAATCGGAATAGCCACCATCTCGGACTGTACTCTATGCCCCCAAAAAACCCCCAATTCCAATCCCTAACCGAAAGGCAGTCAATCTATAGTAATCCACGTAGATGTTCTGCTGCCGGGGCGAATCAATAAAAGTCTCACGCATAATTTATAAGGCTAAAATGGCAGTGGAAATGGGATTGGGAATGGGAACGGGAATGGGAACGGGAATGGGAATGGTTGGTTGGGGGTGATGGCTCGGTTGGGAAGACTGTATCTATTGTCAGGGTATTGATTGCCTAACCACCGCTCAGCCACCCCATCCGCGGTGGAGAAACGCAACCTGACCAACCTGAAGAAGAGCCAACATCGCTGGATGGCTGAATGGGTGGATGGGTGGATGGGTGGGTGTTAGCCCCACACAGATACAGATACCAGATACT